CCCCAAAACCCCAAAACCCCAAAACCCCAAAACCCCTTATGTTAAATTATATATTGAAATATTTTAGACGAAACAGATTAATTATGGTAAGCATGGGCTTTAAATAACCAGCTTAGATTTTTCATGGTTGATAATTGATCTGAAATTTTAACATCAATTTTGTGCATAAATTAATTTATCAATCTTTGGTTGTATTAAGTCTTCTTTGAAAAAGGTTAAATTCTATCTTTTTGATATAGATGCAATCTTTCACAAATAGAAGGAAGAAATCCAGGAAGAAGAATTCTGGAGGAATTGACTTCTTTAAAAAGGCTAGTGAGAGGTATAAAATTTGTCTAATGTTTAGTCTCAAGATGAACAAAATGTATAATTTGCTTTAACCCTTAGGGACTTTGATAATTATAAAGAAGTTATCGAAGATCATATTTCAAATGTCAAGAAGCCATATATACCAGATTTTGGAATAGAAGAAGAACTGAGGCTAACCCAGAAATCTTCCCGTAGCTATTTCTGCTTTAATTATAGACTCTTTTATGAATTTTGATGACAACAACCCCCTCTTTCAAAGTCAAAGAACTGGTATAGCATGTCACATTAATTTTTTAGCGATAAAAGCAGCGAACAACTGGCTGTTGATAGGTACGAAAGCCTAAATATATAACTTATACAACATTTTAGCTGACTATATCAATAAAGTTCCAAAGAACGAAAAGGTCTTTAGAGTTATCCAGAGAATCAACTCCATGCGGGATGAGGCAATGTATTTAGCAGCTAAAGATGCCCAATCTAAAAAAAGGTATTGAACCAATCATATTGGTTTTTAGAAGAAATAAATAGAAACAGACTCATGTCAGGAGATAAGAAACCCCTTGAATTAAGTATGCCATTACTCCTCTTCTCTACTCTCTTTCCCTGTTGTAATACCCTGTAGATCCCCCAAATCCGACTGAAAGAGTGACCAAAGAGCCTTCACAGGAAAAGAAGGGTAAGAAGCTGATAAAAATGGATAGAAACCAAGGGACTCAGTTGGCTTAAAGACTGGATGACTACAAATAACACAAAGCCTGGTAAATCGTTTCAGAAGTAACTTTACAATGTAACCATGCAGACCTCGAAGGATTAATGTGAAAGACAGAAGTTTCGTATTTAACAAGTCCAAGTCAAGCCTGAAGTCAGGTATTTTTATTATTAAATTTCAGATAATCACTCTATGAAGTTGAACTCTACTTTCATAGGAAGGGTACATAAAAACTTCTCTCCTGAGGCCAGGAAGCTGAGCCCTGGAGATGAACACGATGAGTGTTTTATCAGGTATATTATTTTACCATATTTAGATGAATGCCTATGTCTCCAGGTGGGTCTCGTCACAACCAAGCAGACTACATGAGTAAAGTCTATTTGACTGGATTTAGGTATTAAAAATATTAAAAAGAATATTCAAAAATTAGCAGAATTGAAGTCTAAAATTAACCAAAAGTCTTTCAGACAAAGCTGGACTAGGAACAACCGAAGTGCGAGGAAAGTCTCGATCAATTTAGCCAAGACTAATGTTGTTCTCAATAAAAACAAGCTTGCTAAAGAAAACCAAAGTGTCGATAAGCAAGGTAAATTTTTAGAGAAATCCTAGATAATTTTGGAGAAACCTCTCTCCCATATTCAGAATTTAAGAATACTCAAGACACGAATCTGTAAGTAGGATTTTATATTTTGATAGACTTTCAAAAACTAGAAAATTACAGGAGAGCGAGATTGTTAGCGGAAATGAAAATGAACAAAGTATAATGAAATAAGTACCTTAATGAGTCAGAACGAGTCCTGAAACTTATTGTAAAGAAACTTAATTTGATGTTAAAAGCTCTAAAGCTTGAACTTAAATTTCCAAGAAAAATTCAAATCAAGGAGTCTAGTGAACTATCTGTATTAATTTTTAGTCAAATTATATCGGCAATTATGCATGCCGAATAAGAAGAATCCAACTATCCCTGAGGAACATGAAGATAATGTGAAAGTACTAATATTTCAGGACCTTCTCGGGTTGATAAGTAGGGAAAATCTTTAAAAATAGGGAATAAATGCACTGGACATAAGCTCAATTTTAAAATGTAACTGATTGGCTCTAATCTAATAGGTATCTTGCCACTAGCAGAATGTCTTCACATCCTGAAATCATGGAGATGATTAAGCTAGTCAAATATTTCATCCAAAACTCCTTTTCAAAATAATTACGAAAGCGAGAGAAGAAAAATTAACATCCAAACCGTGATGAAGGAGATGAGAAAAGATCAAAAATGTAAGAGCTCATCTGAAGTTTTAGTGGAAGTAGATGATGCCTCTGTCTCATCTCCAAGTCCAACTAGGGAATATGGTAGCTCAGATGGCATTAAGATATAGACAGTTGAAATCCTAATTTTAACTTCAGCATGTGACGAGAGGAGGCTAAGAAATCAATGAGAGATAGATCAGTTTGTCCTTCTATCATCAAAAAGATTCTTCAAAACAAACTTGTTCCAAAATCAAATAGGCAACATAGGAAAGAAAAAATAATGGAGAAAGAGATGTCCAAAAACTTAGGACATAATGTTAGTTCCTTTATCACCAGAAAGCATTATAAATCACCAAAACATCAAAAAGAAGTGAGAATAAATAGCTCACAACTATCTCAATCAAGCTCAGATGTAGTTCATTTCCCCAAGCCCTTAGGGGTATACAAAAATAGGCTTTTGAAGATTTATAACTAACGATGCCATTTCAATATATTTTAACTTTCCTGGGGTTTTGGGGTTTTGGGGTTTTGGGGTTTTGGGG